AACCCAATTGCAAAGACGAAGGCGCAAGCGCAAGCACCAAAACCGGTGATGAAGCGACCGGCAGGAGCTCGTAGCCAAGGCGTGGGTTCCATATTGAAATTGGATAGTCTCCATTTGTTTCTTTTCTCCAGGCAAGAGAAAGGTCACCACTCCTTATTACTACAGGCACTCCAACACCTATGCGATCAAAATCGACGAAAAAGAAGTCCTCCAGGCAAAGCCAAAAAGTATACCCAAACCATACGAAGCTAGAACATTGTGTTGGTATCATTAGGTTGGCGGTCTCTACCTGCCACGCGGGAAGTCCCAAGAGATCGCAGCCACTGCCTTAAATAAAGACCTTCTACTTGAAAACTCTGAGTTTTCGCTATCTATTCAGGATATTGCCTACAAGCACTTGATGAATGGCGATGATTTGGCTTATGTGAAACAAATCGTAGCTTGCGGCTTAGGACTTTCTTTCACCATGTGCCTGTTGGGGCAGCTAATTATTACAAGTTTTTATCAGGCACAGTTGAAGAAGGAGCTGGCCACCAAAGTTGCGGTGGAAGCGGCAGAAGGTGGTCATATGTATTATTGCCATTGCATTGTTTGTTTATCGTTTCTCTTGTTTGTCCAATTGGGTTGGTGCCAGGAGGCAACACGGATCCGGAAAACGCCGGTGGCAAGAAAAATGCAAAGAAGCAGGTCAGATAGCTGCAGCAATCGTTGTTTTTTGTGATTAATTATATTTCAGAAGCCCATCGCGCGGAGGAAGAAGACCCGACAGCAGAAGAGGTCGGAACTCTTTCCCAAGCAATCCATCACTTGAGCTGTTCTCATTTGTGTCCGCAGTTGGTCCACGGCGAAGAGTTGGACGCTGAAGCTCCCGAGCTGGCTGATGAATCTTGGGAGATAGCTGAGGAAGAAGCGCTGGAAGACGACGAATACTGGAACAACTGAATGTTGTGAAACAGGTGAACTAAAATAGAAGCAGGATGGCCAAAGACTAGTGTGTGATTGCTTCTGTTTAGCTCCTTCTTCCGATGAGTCAAGTTGATCGGGGTTGCCCCCGTGTGTGCCTTGCGATCGGAGCGAGAAATTAGATGCTGAGTATCGCGGGCAATGGTTGATCGATTTGATTACGCGCAAGTGTTTTCCACATTGCAGCGTTTGACAAATTTTGGTAGCGTGATTTTACCTCGCAGGACCGAACGACAACTGAGATGAGCGAGCCGGCTCAACTTGTTCCTGATAGATAATTCCCAATCAAGTTCATCAAATTTCACTCAGATTTGATTTCTTTGTTTTCAAGAGCAGTTGCCACTTAGACTTGTGTTGCGGAATCCCGCAACTTTAGCCTTAGCAATCTGAGTGTGTAGGGACCTCTGGGAATTGATGTTCCCAGAAAGTGGGTGAGACCCGACAATGGATGGCGAGGATGGAAACCCTGACTCACCACTTTGTTCTAAAGACTAGTCGCACTAAAAACTGTTATTGGCAGCAGCAGAGAAGTGTATGAATTTTCTGGCTTCGATACAGGGCTCACTACACAGCTGTCAAGTCGAATGGCCGCGTGCCCCCACCTAACGCTGTGACCGTTGGTGTACAGTTTAGTTGTGTGTGCACCTCTGTGCCAACATGGCAGTTGAAACAGTCACACTGTGCCCAATAAACACGCACATTGAGCGATATACGGCGGGTGGCAGACCATATCCACATCCATGTTTATCACAGTTAAATGTCCAGGTTTGTTCACCCATTTTCCAACGCACAGCTTGACGACCCGCCCATTTCTGATTTTATGGCCGCTCCTGGGTTGCTGCAGTTATTCAACAGTGGTTTGGAGATTATGTTTTCAGTGGATATTTTCCTCCCTACTATCGGCCTCTCCCCCCCTTTTCCCTCTACCACATCTAGTTTCTGGTTCGCTACTGGGCGTGCGCGGTTTGTTTTCTTTGTTTGTTGTCTGCTACATACTACTCTGGCCTTACTACTGGGAGCAAGGACTCTACTAGGGTTTATTCCTGGCCTTACTACTAGGAGCAAGGAGTCCTACTAGGGGTGGCTCCTGGCCTTACTATTTTTTTAATTGTCGCCGAAAGAAGGGAAGTGTATATAATCCTTTTTGCCTTTACGGAAAATAGATGAAATATGATCCCATCGGACATTGACTGAAGCTATCATACCACGAGCCAGGGCGCGCAATATGGCTCACAACGTTGCCTCTTTTCAGAGCTACCCTGGGTGGATGGGTTTGTGACAGTGCCGTCGTTAGTGGGTCACAGGCGGACCCGGAGCAGTGTCCCCCATCTTAGAGATGATGAGCTCATAAACCTGAACCCTGATTACTCCCAAACCCCGTTTGCCAGCCAAACTCCTTAAAATCAAGTCCCTGGGTGTTCACGGCTGGATCAAGTTGAGCAACCCGCTCAAATTGGTACAACTCTGATTGGACTCGGACGCATTCGGGAATGGATTTGGCGGTAATGGTCGAGTTGGCCAACTGCGATCGAAAGAACAAGAGTTCTGTCTGGGTCTTGATGGAAAACTCCCTGGCCAACAATCTAAGGCACTCAAATCCACAGCAGCGATCGAATCCTTTCCCTTCCTCAGAGTTCCGGATCACCAAAGTCGCCTTAGGATGGTGCTTGAAGCACATTTTCAAAATGGAGAGGAGTCTCACAGATCTGGTTGTCTGATTGGCACTGAGTCGATGGCCATAAGGGCTCTTGTTCTTTGACACCCGAAAGGATTTCAGCAGGGTTTGCATTGGATCCTAGACCAGTCCAACTTGCCAGACTTCCATTCCATGAACCCCACTACCTCACTAGGTCGAGATTTCCACTCTTGGTGGTTCGGGGTTGGGATCGGTGGCGTCCACTTCTCCGATCGTTTGAACGGGTTCTGGTCGTTATCGACATGTGCTGTGGAGCCGTGTGGGGGTACCTACCGAAACAGGCATTGGAATAATGCTGTGTGGCTGGCCCTGGAGGGGGCGGCGTTGTTTGACCTGCGCCTGGACCTGCAAACAACTGATTATTCTGGTCTGGACTTGCTGGCATACTTGCGGGGAACGGCCTATCAGGGATTCCTGCGGCTTGTTGCCTTGCAATGGATCGAGTGGCATTGGTCCGGACTGCAAACCCTGATTTGAACGTTGCTGTATTGGTGTACTCGGGATATCTACTTCGGGGTATGTCGCCTGGCTAGGCTGTGCGAATCGGCTTTCTGTGGCCTGTGGGAAAGGTGGCGCAACATTCGGGACAGCGGTCGATGGTGATGGGGCAACTTGTGGATTCGGTGGCGCAGGTATTTGAGATGGATTCGAGCGTGCGGCGCCTGAACCATAAGCACTTGTTGAAGCAAAGGTCCCAAGCTACTCGAAGTACTGGTTAGGTGGGAAGCCTGGTCTTCTAAGCTTTGCAATTTTCTTTGGCTGGCGCTCCCGCCCGACCGAGAGTCTTGAGGCTGACGTCTTGCCTCAGAGCGCTCTCAAGCTCGCGCAGATCTCGTGCCATTTCCAGCTTCCGACACGACATGGCTATCGCTACGGATACAGGGCCACGTGAACGCGTGGAAACAACTCAAGCCTACTACGCTCCTTTACAGGAGCTCCGCTACCATATGAAAATTCACGCGAGCTCACAGACAAAAGAAAACCAAAGTTGAAAACTTGGTACACTTCTTGATTTGTCGATGTTCGAACTCTTCGAATCGATTCCGTCGGCCTGCCCTCCCACGCGCCCCAGTGCAGTCTGTTTTGCTCGCACTTGAGCCACAGTACGTGGCACGACGGTCAACTTCGAACTCCGGCCAAAAGCAATGACCATGGTTGGGATTGGTCATTGCAGCTCTCAGGTCCGCTAGCCTTGGGCGAAGACTAAGCCCATCGCCCGTTGACTCTGGTCTTGGGCGGTGACTAAGGCCATCGCCCGTTGACTCTGGTTCACTTTATCAATTTGTGCGTGTCATCCGCGCTGCAAATACACTCGAGCTCCCACATGAGTTGTGACTGTTTTAAGGAGAGGTGGGTGGGAACCTTCTCTAGGTCGAGGGGCCATGGTTGAAGGCGACCGGGCCCACCTGCCCAGCTACGTTTCCGGAAGGTCTATTCTACCAGTCAGCGTGCTGCCCAAGTGCAGCAGCGCGCGAACCCTCCTCCTTCCTTGCTCCCTTTTGTATTTGCTTAGTCTTACAGGTGCATGGCTGCTTTTGCTGGCTTGGCCTGGGAGGGTTCGAAGGCTTACAGAACGAGGAGGTCATGCGGAAGAACTGGAGCATGGTTCTCTCAACAAAGATGACGGAGATGTGTCATGAGCGTGACTGTTGAGCAAGGAGAGGAGGCTGTATGCCGCCGGAAGCAGTGGCAGCAGCAGTGGCTCAAGTGGGGTGACGGTTTGTAGACTCTGCTGGACTTTCGGCTTGGCCTAGAATGGAAATGGAGAAGAGCAGCGACGTAGCGTATGGCGGAAGTGATTTATGAGTTGCGCCTGCTGAAATGGGGGCTACAGCGTCGCTTCCATACCATGGTCTGTGCTGTGTGACTGTGACTCCTCAAGGCTCAAGGGACCTACTTAAAGACAGCTTGCGTGATAGTCACTCTTTCCCCCCCATGCCTGACAGACCATGTTTGCGCAAGAAAGGCATTGTAGAGAGATGTGCGCGCGGATGAGACAAGCGTGCGTGTGGATGGGGTTTGTGCATGAGCACCGTGTGCGCGAATGAGGTGCTGCTCATATTTGGCGCGCAGGTGTTTTTTGTTTCTTCGCGCCAAGAACTTGACCCGCCTGTAAGTGTATACAATAAAGCAGAAACACACGAGTTGGAAATCAGAACTGCAGCTCACGGGTGTTGGCCCCGTTGAGGGCCCGTTGGCATGTTGCCCGTTGGCGCGCGCCCGTTGGGGTCGTCGGGCCCATGTTTGGCCCCAGTAGGGAAACCTCTCCAGATTCCTAAATGGCAATTGTTTAGTAAAGTTTATATAGTAGTTTTTTGTCGCTTTGCCAGCATCGTCACAGGCCCACTGTTCGACCACCTTGGCTTGCAGGCGCCAACTCATGTCGTTCATGTGTCCACATTTTGTGAAGGAAAGCGCAGACATGTTATTTTCATTATGCTTTGTAAAGAAAGTTTTCGGCAGGTGACGATGGGCGCCGCGGAACTCGGGGAGCAGCAGACTTTGATTTCTTTGTTGCCAAGTTTTGAAAGCTGGTTATGGGTCACGGACGGTCCTTTATGGTCCCGTGGGTTTTGCCGGCCTTAACTTGTCCAAGGTTTTTGCAACAAGATCGCCTCACCGCGTAAATCCAAGGAATGTGGTCACGAGACATGATCAACAGACGGTAGAGACTGGAGGTTCTCCGAAGGGTTCAACAGGTTGTGTTCAGCTCGGATAGTCTATGTTCGCGCTGCCATCGGTGAGAAGCTTGCGCGCTGATGTTTGAATGGCTATCTTAGGCATCAAGTTGTTCGCGCGTATTGAGTCTTTGCAAAGGCTCTCAATGATGAGCTTTATGTGGGGCACGCGTGCAAGCTGCTTGTAATTCTGTTGTTATGGTTCTCAAGCGCGCGCGAGAGAAGCATGTGGATGCGCTCGAAACCCTATGTCTTGCCACGGAAGATTGAGTTGGCGCGTTATATATGGTTAAAAGCAGTGTTCCCATGGGTGTCCGAAATGAGGTCCGCGGTGAGTCGCGTGGTTTGTGTTTTGTTCATAACGTTTGGACGGTGCACTGAGGCCGCTCGCTCTTGAAGCGAAAGAGGGCCAGTGCATCCGCAACGCTATCTAGACCAGCCTTTTGTTGAGTCTATTCCGATGACAATGTTGTGAAACCGGTGATATTGTTGTGAAACCGATGACAATGTTGTGAAACCAATGATCATATTATGAAACCGATGATCGTGTTAAGAGGCGGATGAGAAGTGCTGCCCCATTTCCCCCTTCCCCGCGCCCCCCCGCCCCAATTTCAACACATTGTCATTTGATGACAATGTTGTGAAACCGATGAAATGCTGTGAAACTGATGATAATGTTGTGAAACCGATGACAACTGCGGGGATCATGTTATGAAACTGATGACAATGTTGTGATATCGATGATCATGTTGTGATACCGATGATAATGTTGTGACACCGATGACAATGTTGTGAAGCCAAAAAAAAGTATTGTGAACCGAATGATAATGTTGTGAGCCGGTGACAATGATTGGAAACCGATGACAATGTTGTGAAACCGATGACAATGTTGTTGGGAAACCGATGATCATGCTTTGAAACAATGGAAACCGATGATCATGCTATGAAACCGATGATCATGTTGTGATACCCATGATCATGCTGTGATACCAATGATAATGCTATGAAGATGATACCTTCCCGGAGAACCCCCCGTCTCTTGGGCCAACAGACCATTTGAATTTCTGCGCGTTTTTAAAGAAACACAGTTGCATTCTCTTGCCATGTAAGGTCCAAACCCACTTGGGTTGACCCTTTGCCGATTGGATTATGTGGACCATGTACGCCAAAGTTCTGCACCGGAAAGTTCGCATATGTTTTGGACGCATTCTTCCAATCTTGGCTCGATGTCAGGATGCAGCAACTGTTTATGTAAGTGGTGTCGATGTGATAGATGGATCAGCAGTGCCTGGTACAGAGAACCGATTCGCGTTCTATTTTGAGGTTTTGCGTGTCATTTTTGTTTGCGCTGTGCTGTATTTGCTAAATGTTCCCAAGATCGCACTGTGAGGTTGGACATAAAACCATACCATCCAGTTGACTCAGTTGCAAAAACGGAGGACCCATTCTCTTGCAGCAGATTGCTGATGAGTTGTGAGCACACGCATGTGCAAGTTGTTTTTTGTTTCTGTTCTTGTTTGTTTGCTTGGATGTTTGCATGTGCTGCAGCGCTTACGATCAAGCTTTTGGCCTTGTTGCCCTACTCACAATTCATGCCCAATGGTTTTGCACGGTCTATTCTGTCAAGCACTGATGTTGCATGGATACCACTTTGCATTCATCGTTGTAAACAACAACACAATTGGATCTTGGCCTTATTTAGGTGACCCAGGACGAAATGCTAACCACAGACTTGGAGCGTCTCTTGTAAATGGGGGATCGCAGACATTTGACGCTGCTTGCTAAAACACATTGTTGAGTGGTTGCGCAGCAAAATTGAGAACGTGGTTTACAATTGTTTGCAACGTTTTAGTACCTCCAAAATTACACCATGAATTGAAGACATTCCTGCTCAAAGCTAGTTAGTGGAGATGGAAGGAGCTAGCAATGGCCGGCATGACTATGGCACCAAATGGCCAGCCTATGCTTTGGCTTCGTCTGCCAGGCCTGAGACCAGATTTGCTGTGGGCAGCTGTATTGAGGAGACACGGAATTTCATAGAGATTCTTGAGCTCAACGACGGCAACTTGGAATGCGTGGCGGAAACGGAACATGCATTCCCTCCAACGAAGTTGTTGTGGAGGCCAGACAATGGTTGTGATGGCGGCAGGCAAGACTTGCTCGCTTCCTCCACGACTACACTCAATCTTTGGAAGGTTGAAGATGGGCAAATGAAATGTGTTGGAAAGCTGGCAAACACCAGAGCACAGAAGCAATCAATGAATTTACCTCCTTTGACTTCTTTTGATTGGAGTAGCATCAGTCACCACAAGCTTGCAGCCTCGTCGGTGGATACAACCTGTACAATTTGGAATCTGGAGAAGCAAAAGATCGAAACACAGCTGATTGCTCACGACAAGGCGGTGTACGACATTGCATTCTCCCATGTCGATAGCCTTTTTGCATCAGTTGGGGCAGATGGTTCACTCAGGATTTTTGACCAAAGGAACTTGGATCACTCAACCATTGTATATGAGTCTTCACCACCATCGCCCTTGTTGAGGCTTGCATGGAACAAGAGCAACACCAATCATATTGCTACGATTGCGATGGATGCTCCTGGAGTGATATTAATTGACATCCGAAGACCATCTGTAGCACTTGCAGCTCTTTCTTATCATGATTCCTGTGTCAATTCAATTGCTTGGGCTCCCCACTCACGCAATCATCTTTTGTGCGGGACAGACGATGGTTTCGGAATCATTTGGGACGTTGCAGAAGCTATTCCATCCAAGCTCGACACGCCATTGCTGGCCTATGACTGCGACAGTGAAGTGTACCAAGCCCAGTGGCCTGCATCACAACCTGACTATGTTGCACTTGGCATGGCACATCAGATCAGACTACTCCAAGTTTGATCAAACAACTTGTTGCAAGGACGAAGGTGTCTGTAGATTGCAGTTTCACCATGCTGCCAGCAAGCAGAAAAGGACGTGTATCTATTTTTAACAAATCTGCAAGTCTTATGCACAAATTCGCTGCCTTTGGCCCATCAATGGCATGCTGACAGATGTGTGCTCGTACCTCAACGACTTGAGTGAAATGAGTTTAAGCACACCTGCTAGTTGGATTCGCATGTGCACTCTGGCAATACATAGGTTATCAGCTAGATACCTGAGAAGTTTTGACAAGCTATATATTATATATAATGACGCGTGCGACTATAAAGCCAAAGTTCTTGCCAGGATTTGCGATTTGCCAATTGGCTGCCAGAGCCACGAGCTTCTGCTGAAGTGACCTGGAGCGAGGCACTCAAGGAATTGGACTCGGTCCTCAGACTTAAGTTTTTCACACCAGATTTAGGTTTGGGCACTCCAAATCCACCTACGCATGCCATGAGTTGCCTAGCATACACACTCGAGGTGGTCAAGCTCTTGATGAACTTCTTAGCTTGCAGAAGCTATGCCAGTGCGCCTTGAACAGAGAAAAAGCAACGTTGGTATGTTCACTTAGTCCAACTTACCAAAACTTATGGACCTTCGGACTTGTCAAGAGGAGTCTTTGGTGACAGGTTTTATCCCGACTCTCGTGATCAATGCTTAGAGGAGTTGCTTCTGTCTTTGTGGGATATATCAAGCTCGCACCTCCAAGATTCCTCACTGAAGAGGAGGATGATGCTTTGCTGCTTGATGCTCGGATACAAGGTCATTGCAGCTGTAGCAATCACAAAGAAACTGCCGTGGGTTTAGTCAAATGTCCTCTCCTTATTCCAATAGACAGCGACATTTGAATTACAGTTGGTGACGCCCACCGGCAAGAGGGAATGGAGTTCTAGTGTTTTCTGAGCTTTGTTCACTTTGTTCACTGCACTGTCTGGTGCTACTCTTCGCTTTGGTTTTACATCGGCTTCAGTCTGGAGAGCACATCATCACTGCATTAGACAGCACTGTTTGGGCAGCTGTGGTTCACTGTTGCCTGCATTAAATCCTGGCCTGCACGTTGCCTAGGGCACGTTTAAGTGCCGGTCATGTATTCATGGACGGCCCAAACATGGAACATGCTTTCCAGCTTATGCAAGAAACAGGTATATCGTGTTGGCTATTTCACAGACCTGCAGCCAGCCTAGCCCTATATAGCTTGTAAGTGAAATTCATGCGCCACGGCTCTTAGATACTTTGTGCACAGCTTCTGTAATGTTTTTATCACAAAGTCTCCCCACTTCAAAAAGGAGACGTTGGGTTGCTCACGCCTGAGGTTTTTGCGCACTTCAATCGAGGAAGTGATAGGTGGGCTTACGAATGGGTATGCAACCACTGTGCTATAAAATAGGGCAAAGCCTGGAGGCCTGCAAAGACATTCCTTGCAGCTTTTCTTGCATTGCTTATAGGGCTTATAGCTTGATATGTGGCCCAAACCATTCAAACATGAGTTTGTCGTTTTTTTTGCTAGTGCAGGTTTGGATCCGCGCCCGCATGGTTCCTCAGAGAAAAGCTTATGAACACAAAGGTGCCGCTTTTCATCTAAGGCCGCAATCACGGCAGTCCAAGAAAGAGAACTCAAACTATTGGGTGTGTCTGCCATGTCACAAAAGGGCAACCTAAGTTCTCCTTTCTCCAGCGTTTGATTTCGTGCATTTAAGTAATGATTTTAGATCCCCCTCCCCCGTTCGACTCCATTTTGCCGCTTTGTGGTTTGGGGCTTAGTATGCCAGTCTCTGTTAGCACTCGATCACTACTGCCTTCGAATATGAGAAGTCCCATCTCCATCTGCGCAACCCTCCCCAGAGTGTGAGCGTGAGAGTGAGAGTGAGTGTGAGCGTGTGTGAGTGTGAGGGTGAGTGAGAGCGAGAGGTGAGCATCTGAGAGCGCTTTGCCTGCCACGAAATCTGCGCATCGAGGTTCACAAAGTGCTGTGCCTGCCACGAAATCTGCGCATCGAGGTTCACCAAGTGCTGTACCTGCCATGAAATCTGCACTTCCAGGTTGACCAAGTGCTGTACCTGACGAAATCTGCAAACGAGCCACATGTCGAAAAGCTATGACTCACTGCACTTGTCACGGAATCAGAGCGCCTCGACGATCACCACCATGTCCAAAGTGCTGTGCCTGCCACGAAATCTGCACTTCGAAGTAAAGCCGCTCCGATCCCTTGCGCCTGTCACTAAAAGTCGACTTTGGACCACCAAAACACGAGGTTTCCCTTGGGCCTGCCACGAAAAGTGACCACCATGCGCGAAAATGCGCACGGCGCTACAACAAGAGCGCAGTCGCTTGAAGCGCCCGGCCAGATTGCCTGCGTAGTCGATATGCGCTTCGAGGATTTCGAGAGGCATGAATGTATATAGTGTAAATAGCAGTGAATTAGCCGTTGACGTCCGCGTGGAACAGCGCTCTAAGCACAGCTGCTGAACTACTACCGCGGGAACCCCTAAGTCCTAAGTGTGTCCACACTGTTTGGGGACAAAACACTGTGAAACACAGCATTTCCTATCCGAAAATGCACCCTAGCTAACGCTAGATTAATCCTCCAGGCTCCAGAACATTCTTCCGGTTTACGCGATATACCTCCACAACGCCTTCGCACCTTCGGTGCGGGCGGATTTTTGAACAAGGCCTTTACTAACCATCATCACGCGGGTGCTGGTGCGGGTGCTGCTGCTGCTGCTGCTCCTGCTGCTGGATCGGCGTTTTGTGTGGGCGAGCTGGGTGCTGGCTGGCGCTGGTGCCGGTGATGGATCGGGGTTTTGCGCTGATCGACTGTGTCTGGGGACTTTGCATCGTTTCTCTTTGTGGATGGCATGGTGTCGCGCCAGGGACGACGTCGTGTCACGCCAGGGATGGAATCACGTCACGCCTGTGACGATATGGTGACGTTTCGTTTTGCCCGCTTGTTTTTGCTAGATCGGGTCTTGCTGCCGGGGGCTATGAGCTTTTTCCCCATACACCCGCTATCTGGTGTCTATGCCGGTGCCATTTTGAGAAATTCTTGGAGTTGTGCCAGGTCATGGATTTTGATAGCCCTTGCCTTTGCGCGACGCTTCGCTTTGACTTGTCACTTGATGCAGATCTTGCAAGAGGACTTTAGATGCAACCAAGCCAGCAGATGCGCTCTAGGTTTGCGCGCAAGCATAGGCGGCAGACAACATTCCAATTAAGACTCGGACCATCGACGCAAAATGCCTTTGTTGAGAGAGGGACACAAACTGTAGACGTTGGTGTTCATAAGGCTTGAGTGTGGTCTTTCGCTCTGAAGGCGCAGTTCTGTTTTTGGACGCTTTGGATGATGGAACATTCCTTTGAGAGTTTCTTGCAGTTGCTGTTGAGGCCCAAAGTTTCAGGCAAGGACGACAGAGCTTGCGCACGCTCCTTTTTGGATTTGTTGGAGCGCCGACTTTTGAGGTTGTGCGAGTACAAAGCGGGGAGCGCCAAAGATTGTCAAAGGAGTGGCTGCAGGAGAGAATCAAGGGGCTTGGCTTGAATGTTGTGTAGTAGTAGTAGTAGTAGAAGAAAAAGACGAAGAAGTAGAAGTAGAAGTGGAAGTAGAAGTAGAGGTAGAAGTAGAAGTAGTAGTAGTAGTAGTAGTAGTAGTGGTGGTCGTGGTCGTGGTCGTGGTCGTGGTCATGGTCGTGGTCGTGGTCGTGGTCGTGGTCGTGGTCGTGGTCGTGGTC